AAATGTGACTCTATTTTACAAAATACTAGTCTACTAAAACGCAGCCAAGGCAAGTTACTTTGTACAGACCAAAGGTAAGTTTTATGTTATTTGATATGGTAACATGAGTGCACATGTGCCGCATCATTTTAACTTCTGTATTGTTAGCCAGGCATGACTGAAAGGTCAATATAATATAAATAATAAATATATGTAAATGTATAATGTTATGAGATTTAAGCTATTTATGTTTTCATGTTATAATTTGTTATCATTCTAGAATGAAAGAGGCATAATTTATATATTTCCTAATTTTTTATGGTGGTTACGAGATCAGTCAAATCTACTGAACCGGTACAGAGAATAGTTAGTGAAAATAACAGATAAAATATAAAGTTGTTTTCTTAAGAAACGTTTGATAACTATCTATTATAAAGATTTTGCAAGTGAAAGCTGGAAATTTTCTGATGCATAAAAGTATTTTTATTCTTAATATGAAAATCACTTTGCATGTTGGATACGCAACATGCAAAAAAAAAAAAAGGCATGAAAAAAACATTGCTTAATAAACCTTAAGACTTAATACAAAAATTTGATATTTCATCCTCATGGAAAAAAAAAAAAGAGGATACAGTGGTAGATTGGATGAGAACTGAAGACAAAACAAATTTGAATCATCAGACGATTATTGTGAGAATTTGAAAAGAATACAGAAGTGGAGTGGAAGTGAGGCAATGAAGTGGTAATTTTGTAAAAAAAGATAGAAAAGAAAGTGTAGAAGAGGCTGAAACAAGAGGGTAAAACCTAATGATGGTTTGATAAAGAAATGTAAGTTGGAAAAAAGGGAAATGAGGTACAAAAATGACGGAATGAAGAATATCAATGAATGTGGCATAGAGAACTATGAAAAACAGTGGAGTAAAAATATACAGTTGTGATATACTTATGATTCAGTTATCATTTATGCAGTTGAAAAATAGGGATGGTACTAAAAAGAAAACATTGAAAAGTATCAAGGAAAATAAATTGATGTTGGGACTAAACATGAATATGCCATGATACATTTGGCAGTTAGAAATGAGAAGAATGAATATGTCTGTTAGAGCAATGAAGAGAATGTATGTATACGTTTTGAATACTATGAAAATGAAATATAATTTTTGGCCCGAGGTTTGTCATTTGAAAATACTGAAGAAAATTGAGAATAATAAGACTAAACGGGGATACAGAATGAAGGAAATACTTGAGGTGGCTGGAAGCCCAAGAATACACAATTTAGTTAGAAGATAAAGGGATCCAAAGTTAATTGAGAAGTTGGTAAAGGTAGTGCAAAGAACAATAGACCAGAACTTTCAAGATAACAAAGTAAAAAGCATCAACCTGTTGTGACAATTATGTAAAAAATAAGGACAATTATAGATCACCTATATATGTGAAGTGAGGATATAAAAAAGAAATTAAGACAAGAGTTGTGGTAATATCCACCATTGGAAAAAGAAGTGGTTGAAAAAGGAAGCAAGAAAATGTAGAAGCTGTGGACAATAGGAAGAGTCAATTAGACACGTATTACTGAAGTTAGGCTATGAAACGGATGAATCGACAGAGAAAATGAAAGAATTTCAATGTATAGCAATGGATTTGGGGATTTATCAATGAAGTGACTTGTAAATATTTAAGTACCTTTAAAAATATTATTACAGTTGAATAAGTGTATGATTGTATTTACTGCTACTGTAACCCCTTCCCAAAGAGTTCTCACTCTCTCTTCACCTATAGACATAGTTCCAGGTCTATTATGTGATGTACCATTAAGTCACATTTACGTTATATATATATATATAATACATACAGGAATAGAAATATCAATGAAAGACTGCATTAAGAGAGATTAATTTCATATAAGCGTAGAAACTAATTAGGTTTAGACTTACAATAGCTTAAACTATAATGACAGTATACAAATATATAACTGCATACACTATAGTATTTAGTATGTAAACACTTTGATATCTTTAGAACAGGACGTTTGGTCAACAGATAGCCATAGAATTTGTTGATGAAAGTTAATGTAATGTTCCTTCAAATACCTTTTAGAATGTCACATAATTCTAGAGGTTTCTTTGTTGCCTTTTGACCTCCTCGTTATCCATGCAGGCTGAAATTCCTTCAGTGATTTTCATATCTGAATTCTGGTCAAGCCAGGTCAAGAATACAAATTTTCCAACTGTCCATTTCCTCTCCAAGTAGGTTTTTATCATGTTGGTCATATTTTTAGAATCATTATCCTGCTCAAACAAATCTCTGGCGAATTAGACAACACATTCTTTATGGTATATCATTGCGTATTAGGACCTACTGACATGCATTTTAGTTTGTATTTGTAACATGAAATAACCCTTACTATCCAAAACTGTGGATAAACTTTCTTCCACACACACTGGAGAAGTTGTATTGATGCCTGTGTTTACATTGCACCATTATTTCTTTGATGAAGCATATATTCTTGGTACAATTGGTGGATTTTAAAGCAGAATGAACTGATCTTTCAAAGATTTTCCCAGTTTCTAACATATTCTGATGAAAAATGAGGATCGTACGATGGTTTCTTTTAGCTTTGATGTTATTATGGCACTGATATACAAAATAACAAATGTCATTAGTGGTGTGTCTGACATTTTCTTATGAAAATTACATTTTTATAAATTCAAAACATTGAGGTCTAATTTACTCGTATTCCAACTCTCCTTACCTGTTTTCACAATTTTTTTTTAAATATTTCTTACTCATTTTTGATAATGATAAATTTAGTTGAATATTAATGGAAAATAACCCTTTTTCTATTATCCTAATTTATTATTTCATTTTACCATTGAAATGTGCATTTTGCTTCATATTGATAAATGGTCATTATTTTTGTAAAGACGATTCATTATGTGTATGTCTGTGTGTGTTTGCATCTATCTCCCACTGGAAACTATCCAATAATATTTATGGGCTACTTTGTTTTAGCATTTTTGTCTGAAAAGGAGGATAAAAAAGAACCCTGAAATAGGCCATATTTCCACTTTTTTTATATACATTTTTCCCTTGCATCACCCAGAGTTGGCTGGGTCAATTATCTCAATTTTTTGCATGGTGACTGGAAACTGTCCAACAGTCTACATGTGCTATTTTGTTTTAGGGTTTTTGCCTGAGAAAGGGAATAAAAAACACCCAAAAATAGGGCACATTTCTACATTTTTCATAGATTTTTTGCCTTTGAATTTAAAGACACAAGTATTTAATCAGTAAATTATTATCTTCCACAAAGAAGGGTATGTCATGAGCATCTAATGAGGTCATTAGGGATTTAATAATAAAAGAAAGAAGAAAAGGGAACATTATCTAACATTGTCCTTTATACAGTTTTTCCTTCCTTAACTAGTACCTTCAGCTAATATATACAATCACTCTAATGTCTCATTTAAACACAGCTAAATCTCCCAATTCTTCAATAGAGCTGAGCCTCACGAACAGCTGTAACCCTTGAATGCAAAACCCAAAAGTGTTATATATTTAAGATAAGGGTCATCGCAAGATATTTAAGGTACTCCAGTCTGGACTATGTGCTCTGAAAAGAAAATATTATCCTTTCCATATTTCAAAAACATACTCAAAGGCTTTGAACAGTATGTTCAAATTAATCTTTATATATATATATATAAATAAAGTGCTCTGAAATGTGTTCATACTGAAAAATAAGATTCAAATAATTATGTTCAAAAAAATTTCCATGCCTAGAACAACATTTTTCACATGGATGCTTTTGACAGTTATAGAAGCTTGTGAAGATGTTTTGTACTCTCAGTCAGGCAAGCACAAAACAAGTTACTTCACTTAACATTTCTTATAACTATCAGTAAAGAAATGGGATGAGTTACAAAAATAATTTTATTAATTAGTAATTGGCCAATTTTGATATAAGCACATCCATATTCTGTAGAAACATTAATGTTTTTATTAATTAACAGCTTTAAAATTCATTTCTCAATAAAAAGTGTATTTCCGATTAAATTTATCTTCCTCTCTTTTATATACATTTGAATTTGGTTTATTGTAAACGTTTTCTATGAGATGTAGATGACACCTATAGTAAAATTTTGATAAACTAAACTTCAATCAAAACACAATTAAGATTGAGATAAAAAAGATCATGAAAAAGTGTTAATTGTTTGATTACTATTATTCTACTCTAAGCTATTTGTTTCACAACTTAAACCATGATGTTAGTTCTGTAGAAGTAACTAACGAATGTACAGTATTAAATTAAGACATTTCAGAAAATAAATGTTCTTAAAATGAATTTGAGTCTTGTACAAAAATAAGAAGACAAATTATTAGAAATATTTGAATGTTATGGCTTCTAGGGCTCATATGTTTACAACAGTAATGCATACATGTAGTACCTGAAGTCTAGGAGCCAAACTCTAGAATTAGCAGAAAATATTTTTCTGGAGTTAGCTGATAATTTGTTAAATAATGTTATAAAATGATTAAAACCAAATATTTTAGCAAAAATTAATTAACTAGCCATCTCTGACTTCACCAGAGCATGTTTACTAAATTGTTCTCAGCCAGTTAAGTTCAGTGTTTTGTTGTATTTCCTGCAAGTTTATCAGAATACAGCTTATTTTATGATATATCAAAAGATGTAGGGCAATCCTGAACAAGAGAGGTACTTTTGAAGGTACACTGCTTTTGTAGGCTAAATGGGATTTATTTTTACTGAAAGTTGGCTTCTGGCCAACAGTTATACTAATGTGATTTTACTGAGAACACACACCAGTCATTCCGAACACTGCACAAAGTCAGAAGCTTAACTTTTTAAGATGATCTACAAGTGCAAAGTTAAAAGATGCTAAGAATGTTACTTGTGCAACAGGCGTGGATGTGATCAGGATGGGATACCTGTGACCAAAAAGTAAGCCAAAAAAAAAGTAGGTCAAAGAAGTTTTTGTATGTGATGATGCAAGTACTGACTGGATATGTTCAAGGTGGTTCCAGAAGAGATCTCTTATCAGGACAATGGTGGAGGGGCAATAAACAGTGTTGGCTAGACTGATGGCTACCACCATAGCTGCTTGACTTTGGCACTGTATAACTCTTCATCCATACTGCCTTCAACAAAATAATCAGCAGATTACATCTTACCCATTTCTGTAATTTACTTCTGCTTTTCCAGATTAGGGAGAGACCTTACCCACTTTAGCAAATTACCCTAATTTTTTTGTTTAAGTCAAAGATGCTTGTTAACTGATTGGCGTGTAAATGTTAGCCACTTAAAACTGAACCTTTAGCTTGTAAAATGTGAAACAAAATACTTTTAGAAATAAAGATAAGTTTTATTTAAAATAGATTTGTGTATATGTATCATGGTTGAAAAAGGAATGCATTTTGATATTAAAGAAATACTTAAAATTCATCTTTTGATACATGGTCATGTTCTTCCACCTTAATGTCCTTCTGATGATTACAATATCCCTGCACACCTTGACCATAACACATGAACACTGACAGTTGATGAGGATCTTCTTGGAAAGCTCTGTAGATTTCCATTTCTCCAATTTCCCCCAAGTACATGTGACATATTTCCTGTATTCTTAGTTGAAAAGGAAGTAATAATACATATTAGTATTAATTTAACTTTAAAAAAAATCTAAAACTAATATGAAAAATAGATGTAACTCATTTCCTTAATCCATTTAAAAGAAAGTAGTAATACAAATTAGAGTAAATAAAAGTCTTGAACACCAAGATAAAGATTTGACACCAATGATGTCAAAATTTTATTGAACTATTTCATGAATTTATGTCAATAAGTTTGGTATCAAAGTGTAGATTATAATTCAAATTTTAGTACTATATATTACTCAATTTGTTAATTTAAAAAAACAGATACATCAATTTTTGTGTGTTTGGTATGTTGAATGCAGCACTGGTTCAAATTAGTTTGTGAAGTCTATAGTTTCATACGAATTAGAAACTCAAATTACTGATATTGACAAGCTAAAATATAAAATAAGGTCTTATATTTTCTATTTGCCAAGATATTGCTCATGTAATAAATCAAACACAGTGGCACCCTGCCCACCTTTTTCCATTTTTGAAAACACTCCCTTATATACACTTACTTCTATATTTGACATGAATAACCAATCGGAAGCTTAAATTGTCCCCCTAGTGGCCATCTCAGCCATTTTAAATGCTTAGGAAGCTATTTCTTTCTTTTGAACCAAGATTTCAAAGAGGTGTAGAGTATGTCTTTAGTCTGCTCGAAATTTCATATTTTTTAAGACTAAAATACATCTTAGTCACTAAGTTTGATAAATTATAGTGGAATTCTATGGTATTGATGTAGTAATTTATGAAATCTTATATGTGTAATAAGCCTAAAGTAAAGACAAAGTGTGGGATCACCTAGCCCAGAGCCAAGTGCGTAAAAGTTATCATGAAAGTAAAAATATCGATTTAATTTTTAACTTAAGTCATTTTTAAATTGAAGCTATTTTCTGTTATATCACCAATGTTTTAAATAAAAAACAAACCTCTTTAATCAACAGAGACTCTAAATTAAGAAACCAACAAATATTTTTCCAGATTTGATTCTATATATTTCCTTTTATACTTTCAGTACATAGACTAACAACAATATTAGGTTATACATTTGTTGCTAAACAACATGACATAAAAGCCATTGTTGGAACTTAGTGTTACCAAAATGCATTGGCTTTTCTATATATTAGAAGTTGTTAATATAACTCATTTTTACCAATAATTATTCCATGAATAATCTTAATTTTGATTGGCTCACAAAGGAATTTACAAACATTTGACTGCCCCAATTGCACTTTTCAGCCTCTTTGTTGGCCAAGCTTGATTTCACAAAATTTATTTATTTTGGTGAGCTGTAAAATGTGGGGTTGGGGCTATACACTAATCTCCATATAAATATCATTAGTCTGACATAAAAAAAACAAAAAACATGCCAGATGCAGTACTGACATGTCTTCAGTATTGCACTTTGTGGAGAGGGTGAAAAAAAAGATGAATAAAGCAAGTTGGAGTTTTAATTGTCTAAAGTAAACTATGTAAGCTCTATCCATTCAAGATAACTTGCATTGGAAATGACTTTACAAGGAATTAAAACTTTCTAACAGATTATCAACACTACTGAATCTCCAGTTCTTTGGTTGAAATCTATACAATAAACTGGAAACACTCATGAAAGGAAAGACCACTCAAGCTGAATCACTTACTTTGATTTCAGATGGCTGTTGTGATTGACAGTGCTCAAAATATGAAATCTGTTTCATTTTCTCAAAGAAGTATCCTCGTTTTATCATGTTGGTTGCTTGTCTTTTGGATTAACTACTAAGTGTTACTAAGAATTTATTAAAATGTGAACACATTCTTTTTACCAAGTGCTAATCAATTATTAAAGGAAATTAAATATGGAAAGCAAAAAAAGGAGAGTGTCTTTCTGTCATCTAGATACACAATGTATATCTGTAACCTGATGCATCCATAGCCTTCTCCATATCAAGGTATGCTTGAGTTTGCTACAGTGGATGAAGTTTCTAAGACAATATCAGCTGACTTAATAAAGATAATGATATATGTTGGGTTCAAGTCCAAAACATGTTTGATTTTCTACATGTTTATGTGGCAGTCAATTCAAAGATAACCTAAAAATCTCTGAACTGAAAACTTTAGAAAATTGAATGAAAACTGCCTCAAACATCCTTTCTTACTAGGTAAGAAACAAAGATGAGGTGCATGTTGAAAGGTTGATTCAAATTTGTGTGCCCACTCTTTCACTTGGCAGCAAATCCACTCAACCTACATTCAGTGGCATGAACTTCTCTACAAATCATCAAACCACATTCTCTAACTTGCCCAAAAACTTCCTAACATACATTAGGTAACTGTTGTTGTGTATATTACCAAATTCAGAACAAAATACAAACTATGACGTGTGGAAATCATCTGGAATGCAGCTAAACATATGTTCCTACTTATAAGGTGAGAAACTTTTTTCAAGAAATCCTATATCAAAAATGTTTTGACAAGTACAAAAGTGAAACAAAGTGACAATCTTTTGCCATTTTATTCATAGTACCTTAACACAAGGTTATGATTCGATTCTGAGTAACTGTGAAACACAAAATGGAGAAAAGAAAGAAAAAAAAAACAAATGAAAAATTACATTGATATCACATACTTGTTATTTTTGTTTAGTGTAACTGTACAAAATAAAAACTGTAGCCTTGGAATTACACCACCATTTGCTTGTGGGTCCAGGATTTGGTTCATTACAAGGATCCTAATAACGTAAAAGTAACACAACAAATGTACACAAAAACACCAAAAAGAAAAACAGGTGTGATAGATTTTATGAATTCTTGGCTTAAAGTGAAATAGTAATAAAAACATCTGTAAGATTTCAGCATGGCTCTAAAACCTTTATTCGTGGGGAAGAAGTATAAGTGCAAATAGTGATAATATTTTTGGAGTGCAGTTATTGTCCATAAAAACTACCATAGTCCTCCAAGTGCTTAAGTTCAAATGTTGTTTTCATGCATAAACTGATATGAAACGTTGCCTCAAAATATTATGCAGATTCTCCTACAGCACTCTCACTTGCTTATGTTAAAATGTCTAGATACTACCGTAATGCTCTTATTTATTTATGCTAAAAGTAGTCTCTAGATGTTATATAGCATTCTTACCTGCTTATATTAAAATGTAGTCTCCAGATACTATGTAGAGGTACTACTCTAGGACTTTTATGTGCTTATATTAAAATGAAAATATTTGAGGATTCTGTCTACCTTGAGGGCCATTTTCCTCCCATCTGAGTCATGGCTGCAACATTTTCTGTAGGTAAACCTGGTCCTGATAATCGTTTCACTCCTTCAACCTCTTTTAATCCATAGCTTTAACAATAAATTGTAAATCAATAAGAATGTATTTAGTATATTATGGCTTAGTTTATATAGATGACTTTAATGAGTCTTAGTTATTTACACTAGCTTCTACACAACAAGAGCAAATTTTCAAGTACAGAAATAGGACTTAGTATATATGAAAGGAAATAAATAACATGGAAAACTTATACTTATGCATACCATAAGCAATATATTTATATAAGAAATAATGTATTTGTATTGATAATCATCCCTGGTGTCAGCCATCACTATCAGGCAAGCACTGGCTAGTTTAAGCACTGAAATTAAGTCAGAACATATCATCAAAATATTTTCAAACTATGGGAAACACTACACCTAGTCTTGTTCATAATAAGTATGTCATTAAAATGATTCTTAGGGTACTTTTAAAATTAGTTGTATATAACTTGCCTCTTATCTGGCATCTGTAGAAGACTAGTACTACTGTCATTAATGTTATTCTACAAGATACATATAAAGTTATTTCTATAATTTTCCCCTTATCTATCATTTATAGTACACTGTGCATTATTATTGTTGTTCAATTAAATTATAAAACACTGTAAAAGTCACTTTTACATAACTAATAATTAAGCAATTGTTTTTAATTTTGTATAGTGTTGTGCTTATAAATCTCTCATGGCTAATCTAATTTAATCTCCAGTGTACTTTGCTTACTAGTTGCAAAACTGAAGAAGTTGACCTAACTTCACATTTGTTTTACTTAACAAAGTTTGTAATTATATTTTCTATTACACATCACTAACAATCATAAAATACCAATAATTTCTTATTTAAGCTATTTTATTTCATTAAGGTGAATGTTAGTATTCATATCATATAATTGAATACATTGTTATGGTGTCACTGTAAATGCTTTTGGGCATATAAATAGCATTTCGACCACTACTACCATATATTTTTCGTACGATAGCTGGCCCAGTGGTCAGCAATGGATATCGTAAACATAACATGGTTGAAATACTATCAAAACTCTTCTTTTAAAGCTGTTTTATTTAAGTTCAACTAACAGGATCTGAACATGCATAGGTAATAAATAAAAAAAGATTTCATAAAACTATTTTGCTGAAGTTTCAAAAACAGGTCAGATTTTATTTTTCTAACCTAAGTTCACATACTTTTGAAAGCTAATCTCACAGACATATTCCATTATATCAAAAACATCAGACTCTGCCAGTCTTCCACTTTTTCTGTTCTTTGCCAGAGCAGTTTGTAACTGAAATAAAAATGAATGACAAATTACATGTTTGGAAGTTAAATTATATAAATGGTTACACTTCACAATAACAAAATCTTAGGTATTATTGTTTGATAAAGGAACAATATTATTTATAGATTATAGCCTCTACCTTTCTGCTAAACATGTAAGAAGAGGATTTTATCATCAATTTGTTTGGATGTTTCTGAGGGGCTTGATAAATATAAAAAATAATCAACAAACAAAACTAGTAAGAACAAACTAACCCTTTATGGTTTTAAAATGTGCTTTAGGGGAAATGTAGTATACAATATGATCTACTATAGCTAGTGTTGCAACTTTACTGATGTAGCAGTAAGGAAAATGTTTTTTTGACTGTTGTCAGGAGAAAAACAAAAAGCAAGTTATTTTAGTTTAACAGTACAGGTTTCTCAGAAAAGCTAAATTAAAGAAACTGTAATAATTGAACTTGCAATTTCAGAGTTTAAAAATCAAACTAGTACATCCCCTTTAAACACTAAATGTGCTATTAATATCGTTTTAATTGTCTTTGAAAAATTCTTAGTACCAAAAGTATGGTTCTTGTTGGGTTTTTTTTTCTGCCTGTTTGTTTTTAGCTTATTATTTTTCATACTATTATTTCTATTTTATATTTGTTTTGGTGCATACATGATACATAACCTATTCTGTGGGTACTTTTTTGCTACTTTATGTAAAAGAAAATACAAGTTTTTACAACAAATTTCAAGTGAAATACATAGTTAGATCATAAAAACATACAAATCTACACGAAATCATTTGAAAGAAGTAACCAAATATTTGTCATTTTCAAATAATTCTATGTAGATTTGTATGTTTACATGTTCTCTGACATTAACTATATGTTTTGTGTTAATTTAACCTTTTCTTTTAAGTATATTTTTCTACAAAATATTTTGATGGATTAAAACCCCATTCTTACCTTGAATACCTGAGAAGTCACAAACAAAACAGCGACCCTCATACTCAGAGATAGAAGTTTAGAGTCCTTGTCAAGGATTAATTTGTTTCAAACTCAAGAATGTTACTTTTACAAAAATAATTACTATGTCAATAATAAAGCTACATTACAATGAAAACAACAGGCAAAATTTAACTTAACATATCCTTATAACTTCAGAGACAAGCACAATTCTTAACGCTACATTGTGAGTTTTCAGTTGATGTGTTTGGCTCTAAACCAAAATTATCCACCTGGTAGGCTACTGCCAAACATGCATCACATTTCAAATAGTTTGGCAAGTGGGCACTTTCTTGTTCTTCTTCTGACAATTGTGGAACTGAAAACTTCATACCTTTTGGTCCTTCAGCTCCAAATGTAAAGACGAGTACTACAAAATTATCAAGATCATAATTAATAACAATAACCTTTATTGTACAAGCATCTCACAGAGTTAATATTTAGAGGTTGATTTTTAAAATATTTTTCAACCTAAAACTACATTAATAAGGATCAGTAAAAATATGCATATACTACTTTAAAATTTCAAGACTATTGCCTTTGTAAGTGAAGTTCACATCAATTGATTTAGAATCCATACTGCCATTTCTGAAACCCAAATTGTTTAATATGTAATGTAAGAATGATGACCAACCTTAAAAACCCTACAGCAAAATTTAGATTATTAAGTTGTCTGATGCCTCTATCCTTCATAACTTTCTAAGCTCTATAAGCCAAAGCCAGGAGTCAAGCATTAAAAGTTAGTATTTCTTAAGGAGACAAGATATACCATATTACTTAATTAATCAATAAAAAAACATTAACTTATCTTGGAAAATTATGAGAAAGTTTTATGTAGATTACCATTTATAACCAAAATTATGAGGATTTTTCTCCAACCCATATTTTTTTTAGTTGTCTTGGAAGGATTTCTTCTTGCTTGAAAATGTAGAATTATTATCCAGCTTAAAAAAAAAAGAAAACATTATAAAACTTACAAATACATTAATTATCAGTAAATTAATTAACAAAAAACCAGAGTACAAACACTATCCATAGAAAAAAAAAACCTGGTAAGTACTAAGTTACATTTATCAAATGAAATATTTACTGTTATAGATTTATACACTTATGATGAACCTGAATGCAATTTAAGTATCAAAGTCCATCTCCCCCTCACATTAGCCTAGCATAAACATTGAAAAGTTGTAGTGATAATTTTAACAGTAATATGTACATAGTGCTGTTTCAAATTTTATTACTTAACCATAATTTTAGACCAGTGCAAATGTCATGAGAATAAAATAGAATGTACAGGATTTGATGGTTAGCATACATCGAAAAAATATTCTAAAACTGTTTCTTGTCCACACTTCGTTATTAATTGTTACAAAACTTTCCTAGAATTTCACATTTTACTTTAAGATCTAGTTTTCTGCCTGCTATTCTTAACTTATGGTTTATTAATTATTTCAAAACTTGGGCCCAGATAAGTGGATTTAAAATAAAAGTAGCTCTAAGGCTGAACAAAAAAAAAAACACATTCAGTGTCTCTAACAATAACTGTCCATAATTACAATTACATCGAGTTTGTATCAGCTGTTAGAGCATGAAAAAACTTAGTACTTATATATTTTAGCACCATGTATTTATACTAGAGTTAAAATACAAGTTATATATTGAGTAATAGTAGCATTAGTGTCTTCGTGCAGGAGGAGGAATTTAAAATAAAAGTCAAAAGAGTTTTTATACTCTCCTTTTCAAAACGAGTTACTAAGAGTTCAAACAATTGAAAATGTTTTGTTTTACTTACTGAATTATATTATTTAGTTATGACGTATTATATAATTAAATGAGCTGAGAAATAAATATTTCTGTATTTTGAATTTTTGTACCTTAACGTTACAGTTGACACGAATTCTGCCTGTGCTAATTTTAATACAACTTTATTTGGAGACATATCCACATTTGTACTGGGTTATACCTGTAAAGTGTAAATTACATGCACTTAGATCCATCACTGTACCTACTCTACCTTGAATACTCCAAAAATCGAATAAATCATCTATCCAAATGAGAAAATATGGACTGCACAATATATATATATAAAGTAAGACATACACTTGATTAAGCTACGAGCTGAATGGCTTACCTTCTCAATTTTTCTATGTTTAGGCCTAGGCCAGTGACAAACCTCAGCCCACACTCACTTCCAAAACACAGGTCAAATGGTATTTTCGTTTTTTAACATAAGTGTGTTTATCTCTTTCTTTTTAATTACTATTTTTAGACATATTCATATCTTGACACCAAGTAGCAGTAAACAACCAACAAAATCTTTAATCATCCGTTTCAGCCATCTCAGAGCTGAAGTTAGTTGCTGTTTGTTTTGTTATTCGATATTCCTTATCTCGGTCTATACGGTAAGCAAAATCCACTATACATGTATCAAGTTTAATAATCTTAACTTTTTTTCAACGCAAATTTCAGTTTATTATTAGACGTATCTGTTAGTAAATGTCGTACGTTACAGCTATAATTTCTCTTACATATTACTTTCTCAAGTGCTTCTCCTCTGTGTTATATGGTGAGTTCAAACATTGTTTACACTGATTATTTTTTGGGCGTGTTGTATTGTATCTCACAATATTATATTACTTTAGGTTAACGGCGTATAGTGTTTGTTTATAGTTAAGCCCAAAGCTACACAATGAGCTAACTATGCTCTGCACACCACGAGTATCGAAACCCGGTTTCTAACTGTATAAGTCAGCAGATATACCGCTCTGCCACTGGGTGGCAGCGAATAGTGTGATCTTATATAATATTCTGCTTACCATGTTATGTAAGCACAGAAATACTTAGCGTAAATAATCACTAGATTAGGGTAGTTTTTTACCCTAAAATTTGATGTCAAAATCTGCTTGCGTCCTATATACCGAAGGTATGAATAATATATACGATATACACAAGCCATGTGTAAATATTGTTACGTCTCTGGTCGTTAGTTAATTTCCCGTATAATTTATTTCCGATGAAACTTTAGCGACACAAGTCCTTTCTTAAATAAAACTAGTTTATTCATTATCAATTCAACTTTGTAATACACTCAATTTCCACAGTCACTTTAAACACACGCTATAATTCACAATGTTTCACGCACTTACTTACGGTCACTACCGCGCTTGACTCAATTGTCCGTCTTTATCTCTGCCTGTCTGCAATTCTATTCCCACTAATTTGTCTCACGTTATCCGGCGCAATTATATACAGGAATAGAGGGCGCCTAGCACATACTGGATTATTCGTGATGTTCACCAATCCTTCTAGAATATCATGACGTGTTACCAGCGTCACGTGACTACCAATATATATTTAACAATATATTTGAATAGGCATGCATAGTTTAGTTCAATTGAATGTGTTATTTATAACAAGAGTAGTTTTTTTTTAAAAAAAACATAACTATTTATAATGCTCCCTAAATAATAAAAAAACTAATTACAGTGAAAGCAATGAAGATTTTGTAGGTTTTGAACCAAACTAAATAACAGTAAACTTTTTTGGATTTACGGTATTTTCTTATTTTGAGCTTTTTTGTGTTTAGAACAATATATACT